AAATCCCAAGTATCCGATTTACAAAAACGCCTCAGACTAGCTCTAAAGGATGCCGATAAAAAAGAGAGTTATGTTCTTGATCTAGAGCAACGGTTATCTACACTCGAAGAGGAAGTGGTCATATTAAAAAAGAAAATTCGGAAACTTACCTCCAAGAAGTATAATAGACTTGCAATGTCTGATCCAATCCAACCACCTAGGCCCAATGAACTCAATAACATTTTTGAAACGGTTCAGGACGAATGTAGAGATATTGATGAGCATTTTCGAGGGTCACAATCTTCTCAATTGAATCAGAGAGATATTTTGACCAAACTTAATATCATCACTAGTTCCGCAAATAGATTGAAAGAAATCGCTGACTGGGAAAATGACGAAGCACAAACCCAGTATCAGCAATATGGTCAGGTGATTGCGGGGTTGAATAATCAAGCAACTCAACTTCAAGCCCAAATTCAGGGAGATGCACAAATTATTATACAATTACAGGCTCGGTTGGATACTGCAAATAATAATTTCGATCTTCTTAATCATGCCCATAATTTCCAGACGGGACAATTGCAAACATGTCAAGCTGATTTACAAGATTGGCATAGAAAGCATGCAAAGAGGAAGGGTAAGCATGTCAAGCAAAAGGCGAAACATAAAAAGTGGGAAAATAAGGAAAAAGGTTCGAGGCAAATAATTATAATTTTAAATCAACAAATTTTAGCGCTTCAGAATAATCCACCAAATATGGCAACACCTATAGGTGACTTGACTGGTATTGCACCTTTACTTGCAAATGTTGAATTTTATAATGGACAGGTTCAACCCGACGAATGGTATAATGGAATTAATGCCATATTATCATATCCCGCAGTAACACAAATTGATGATGCTCATAAAGTTGCGATCTTGAAGAGCAAACTGGGTAAAAAATATGCAGATGTACCCAATCAACATGCTGGAAATAATATTGATACTCCAGCCCACTTATATGAATGGCTATGTTATAAATTTCAGACAGAAACGGTCAGAACACAACAAGTTGCTCTCCAGAGATTAGCATACGAAAAATTTTTACCTAATGATATGCCAGAAACTTATGAGACTAGGATACGCCCCCTAATAATGGGTGTTGCTAACAACGATGCGAATGCCTTGTCATTTATTATGGATCATTTACCAAATGAACTTTTCACCAGGATGGAACGTGCAAATCCCACGGATATTAATGCATTCTTTACTCATCTCAAAAATTTGTGGCTTAAACGTAGGCCTTCTTCGTTTAATTATGGAAGTGCGAATAATATGAATGGGATGATGTCTCAGATACCCCAACAAATCGTACAACAACCCGCATTCCAACCGCCTCAGCAAATTGTACAACAACCTGTATTCCAACCATCTCAACAAATCGTTCAACCGCCTCAGCAGATCGTTCAACAGCCAGTATTCCAACCACCTCAACAAATTGTTCAACAACCCATGCTCCAACCTCCCCAGCAAATTGTTCAGCAACCGAAATCTCAACCACATCAACGAATTACAAATCCTCCAATATATGAATATCAAAATTT